CAGATTGCAGCGATCGCTTTTCATTTTGAAGAATCGAAGAAAATAAATCACTTACTAAAACAATTAATATTTTATAAGTATTATTATGTATCATGAGATGAATTGACAATATTACATGGTTTCAGGTGGCTCAGTTACTAACTATTTTAATGCGTGCCAGATATTAAGTTAATGCTGCCAGATGATATGCTAATGCCGGACAGATAGGTTTATTTTGGGATCATATTAAAAATCCCGCGCGTCACGCGCGTGATCCCGCGCGGGATTATGCGCGGATCCCGCGCGTGCCCATCTCTACCCTAGGAGTCTTTCTATATGCGGATGTAAAATATATGGTTACAAAAAATTCTTATTCAAATTTCGTGTAAAAAATGCAATTTATTGAGCGCTAAAAATAATTCCTAATTATAAAAATTATTACATGGCCAATTATTTTGGCGTTAGACAAAGTATATATTTTAGTTTTATTCGTGATGCACCCAATACTAGTGTAAATGACAATAATAGAAATGCTATATTAAAATAAGAGAACGTAAATAATTTATTAATTCATCCATTCTGAGAGGCGCCGTCGCTTTTTTGAGGGTTCGTAATCAGACACTATACCGAGATAAATATTATCAACTAAATGATTGTCGTGCTCCCTCTTGATTAATTTGTGCCAGCCAACATCTAGATGCCAGTTAATAGTAGGGTTTAGACTTTCGGGATACTTTGCCTCTCCTTCTCTTCCCGCCCAATCAAAATCTACAAATTTTATATCAATTTCACCATTTTTGTATTTGGCCATGATGTTTTCATCACGAAGATCTCCATGTACGTATCCGGAATCATGAAACAACTTTACAGCATTTTTAACCACATTTTCTGTTTGGGGAAGAAATTCTGAATGAAAAGTATGTAGTGGTTTATGTTCCTCCAAATATTCCATAACGACAATCTTCCAGCCTTGTTGAAGGTTATTAACTGCCCATAATCTTGGTGCTAGACCTAGTTCGAAGCATGTACTATGTGCTTCTTTGGAATATTTTTGTGTGAATTTGACTAAACCTTTCTCTTGCGTATTTTCGGTCTGGATTTCTACAACCCATAAATTTCGATATATAGAATGCTTCTCCTTATATTTAATGGTGGCCGTTCCTTCTTCCAAATCAATATTATTGATGCGTGGAAACCAAGGGCTAGTTTTGCAAGGGATTTCTCTCGACTCATAAACGGAATTATAGTAATCTTTTAATAGATGTATAGAATTTTTTAAGGCCAGAAATACTCGTGCAACATCATCTGCTTTAGCATTATCGTAAGTAATTATATCCAGTGGATAAATGTCTGTAAGACGATCGCAAACAATGAAAGGGGCACAAACAGCACCGGATATCGATATATTTGGTCCTGTGTTATTATTTTTGAAGTTAGAGGGCATTTATAATCGGTGATAGTGGGTATAGTGATCGGGTGTTAAAAGATATACATACCATCTAGATTGATAAGGAAAGCAGGCAAACAGGTCCTATTATAAAACTCCGATTTTTGGTTACGGGACTTGATTACAAATTCTTTGTAGTAGGCATCGTTCTGAATATAACAATCGCCATTTGTACCAGGTTCAGGTTTAACTTCTAAGTTTAGCAAAAGGACTCTATCTCTACCGATCTTTGGATATATACTTCCATCTGTCCTTCGTTCACCAATTCGTGAACTTTGGTGGGCTTCATTTGATTCTTCTGGTCGAATTCCTATTTCATTATCAAAAAATAATTCAAGCCAACATCTGAAAGCATCTGCCCTCTGGCTTTCGTCCGAAAATACACCGGACATCACAGAAGCAAGTTCAAGCACAAGTTCATATTCCTTCTCTGATATTCGACAATCCCTTGCAAAGTTGATAAACGTTTCAAAGATTTGATGGTAAAACTGAATTGGAATATCAGAGGCATTAGCGGGTCGGTGATTGCGAAATAGAATTCCATTCTTTTGTTTACTATCTTTAGTCCAATCTTTAGCCCATTTTGAAGGACTTGATATACTATCCATAATGCTGTCTGATGCTGATGAAATAACCCAATTAATTATAAATATCGGCCGGTAGCAATATACATGGCATCTTACCGGATTTCTTATGCTTAACAGCTGGCATTCAATTCAAGCAAGACAGAGAAAACGAATAATGGAAGGCAAGCAAATCCAAGACCCAGTTGTAGTTGAAGAAATGAGGGTTAGAAATGTGAAAAAAGAACAGGTCAGTAAAACATTGAATAGTATACCAAGCTTTCTAGTTGCAACGCGTTCTACGATGACAATAAGTTTATGAGACGCGGAGAAAGCAGTATAGGTTTGGAATATTCAAATGCAGTCGTGGTACTACTTACCCTGTCCTTCGTCCTTAATTGTTTTGATTAATCCAGCGATAGTTCTAGCTGGTCCGTCAGGAAGATTGTATGGAGAAGCTAGGAGGTCTCCTTTAGATAATTCAAGGAAGCGTGGGCCGGGAACACGGTTATTTATAAACGTATTAATGTCTTCATCTTCGAGAAATAGCTTTTTTTTATTAGATCCCAGAAAAGTAGCAACATCAGTCGGCCACCATTCAATAACTTCTTCGACTGATGGAAGAGTAATATTACTCGACATGGTTTATTTTTGTATTGCTTGAATAGAAGTGGTGCAACTTGTGTAGAAAGCGAAAAACTTTTTTTGGTAGGAAATAGTCGTACATTCACCCTTTTATAGTTTATACAAACAATTAGATTGTCGCACGCACGCATAATTCCGAATTATACAGTCTTATTATGACATAACAATACCTAAGATACAGTATACTAGGAACCTCATAGGAAGAAGTTCGTCTGATTGGCTGATGTAAATCAATTGCCCGGGTAACTTATTTATATGTTTTAAAGT